CACATTGAAGGTGTTGAGGTTGGATAAACTTTAGTTAGTGCTGATTTCAGTTACAGAAAGAGTTACAAATATTTATCCTTAAAAGATACACTGGACCTTCTGCAAAAAAAAAAAAAATTCTCTCTAATTGGTCATAGTTTGTGAGCTTGCCCTTAAGTGCACCAATATTTTAATACATTGTTTGTATAAGTCCTTCAGTGCTAATGTTCAAAAGAACGGTAAAGAGAAACGGTGTATTATTCGGGATCCCATATATCAAAAAGCATAAAGTTAAAATTTCTGGCATATAGATGATCATAATGGTCCCTTCTGGACTTAAAATGTATTAAAGGGAGAAACCAAGAAAGTCATTTTTGTAATTTAAAGCTTTATCTTTTCTTTGTTAGTAATTCTTCCTGTCTTGATATCACTGCTCTCTTTAAGCAAACTAGGGATTATATTATTACTCGGAAATAATAAAAAGACCCCGCTTTATTGCAGCCAATACCTGTCATAAATGTAAAATCTGGAGTTCTAATGGCTAGCAGCCGGGTCCCCCTTCTTGTCCCAATTCTCCCATCTAAAATAAGTATTTAATAGCAGTTATTAATAGTAACTCAAAGTAAAGCGTTGTACAAAGATGGGGATGTGACAGCATCTGGAAAATTGAGCAGCCCACGGTCATAGACCCCGAGATATTACCGGGCAACACAGGTGCCAAAGGACAGCTTAGAAAGTGCTCACAAGCAAAGAAGTTCATATGAAATCTTGATGTCAACTTCTTTGCCTAGTAGTTTTTGTGAAAATGTCTTCTGATGCCTGCTGAGGTAACTGAGGTGTTGAGGTGTTATTCCTGCAGATGTGATCTCTGGAAAAAAATCTACATTTTTGGAAAATCTGGAACCAGAACATCTCTGGTTTCTCAAGGGGATCAGGGCAGCTGCTTTCACCAGCTGCTTTTAAACTTCACCCCAAGCTCCCGTGCCTGAGTTTCTATATGTGCCTGAGAATGTGGGGTCTGTCTGGCCCCATGGTCTTGCTGAAGTCTAGGAGGAAGTTTTATGCAGCTGACAGCCCACAGGATGGAAAAAGGCCACCGTTTTCCTCTTTTTGACTAGAAAATGACCAGAATAATTTGGCTTGTGGAGCCCGTGTCAGAAGTATTGACCTTTTTAAAGAATACTGCCATATGGGGCTTCTTGCCTCCACTTTCTCCAATTTTCCTTTACTCAAGAGTGACCGGCCTCAAAGAAAAAGTTCACTGCTCTAATTGAATATTCTCCATATTTGAGAGGAGTAAAAATAAACATTCTTCTCAGTTTATTCATGCATAAGCTGGAATCATCCGAGTGTGACATCTGAAAGGAACTACATGATTATAATCTGCAATGAGAACAAAGTTCATCTTGTGTGGTTTCTTATTTTTCACTGCAGGCTTTGAAAGAGGAAAGAAGACTGCAGAATCTTAATACCCATTAAAGCTCCAGAAAGGCAGGACTGTGCGGCTCAGTGTTAACCTTTTTAGTATTCTGCCGGTTAATTGTCTGTCCGTTCCACCTTTTCTTCGCAGGTTAATGGGGTGGTTAACAGGGGAGGACAGGGACGCTTGGCCAAGCGCACTACAAAGCGAACTGAAAAGGTCAAGGCAACGCGCTGTATTATTCATGGACTAAGCCGGGCCCAAGTATCTTGGATCTCGCGTCTTCCCGTGATGAATTGCAACAAGAACAAGAAACAGCCCCGTGTGAAATTGGCTCTTGTGCCGATCGTTGTAGTTCAAATGGAGAAATGTTCGAATTGTTGCCCGCTGTTGTTCTGTGCTTTGAGATTAAAGATGTGTGAGCTCATATAGCCACCGAGAGGGCCACGGAATAAGCAGCGGTTGTGTGACTCCCCGATTCGATTTGAATATCATACTGTGTGTATGTAGATGGAATTCTTATTTTAGCTGTGGGCTTTGTCTTGGAAATGCTGCTTGCTGTCTAATATCTCTGCCTTTTGGTTATAGGTTTCCTAATATCAGGCCTCTTTTTAAATGGTATTTTGTTTAAAAGTGTTAATGCACTAAATTCTACAAAGGCCACCTGGGCGGGGGACTTCCCTGCGTGAGTCAGCCCTTGCTCTCCGCAGCTTGCAATCCACAGACAAATTTTAAGGACAACTTGATGCAACCTTTCTTCTTTGCTTCAACGCCGATGACGTTTCAGTGGGGGAGAAGCTTGCAGTGTGACTGAAATGCTCTATTTTCTGGACCGCAGTCCCTCTCATGGACCAGGGAGAGACATTAGCAACAGTGGAGTTTGATCTGATCCTCAGCAGCGGCCGTCATCAGCCCATCTCCTGGGCTGGTCCTTTCCCATGGATGTCACAGGCGCATCTCATCCACCTGCGAGGTGCTCCATTTACTACTTGGGCTGCAGAGCTGTTCGCTGCCCTTCTGAACCACAGCCTTGTGTTTTACAAGTTTTTCTTTTTATGCAACACCTTTGACAGAGAGATTTTGCCAATAAGGAAAATGAAAAAATGTTAAGTTCAAACCCTGTATCTTCTGTAAGCCATAGTCTGCATTGTAGCCAAGCAGATGCACCTGCAAAAGCTCACTCGGCTTGGGCTTGTTGTCCCTTCCCGGGCTTAGTACAGGAATTCTGGCATTTACAAGGAAGCAATGATTGCAGGAGCAAGCAAGAGAGTTATGAGGCAGTCTTAGGGGAGATGGGTATTTATATCTTTTTTTTTTTTTAAATTGGTATAGTGCTCTCTGTTTCTCATTGACTGGTTTCAACTGACATCAGTTGCCTGGGGCCAGTGAACTTAGCTGTCAACAGATAAATCATTTTTGTGACAAAAGAATGATGTGATGGAGGGAAGCGAACCCCCCATCACTCATTTGGAAATGAGTCTTTGCAATGAAAGTGACCTGAAAATGGAGCTCTAGGGGAGGGGTCTTGCATGTGTCCTTGTGCAGGTGACTCAAATAGCCCCAGCAAACACAGGCTGGATGATTTTTAATGTTTCCTCCCACCAAAGGAGGAAAAAAGAAAGGGGGAGGGAGAAGAATAAGTGTTGAGTAATAATATTTATTGAGAGAAGCTGCAGGATTTATCATCTCCCTATGGAATTCCCCAGCTAAGAGGCCAGAGAATCAATATAATGCACTTATTAAGTTTCTTCAAGAGGCAAGTTCATTTTTTTTTTGTTTAATTTTGTAGGCAGGTCTATTGAATCTCATACTTTAGAAAGCAAAGTCGATGAGAGTTTTCTTGTGTCTCTCTCAGAGTGTCCTGTCTGACACAGGCACAGCATTTTCTAGATGTGCTGGAATTGGCTTTTCCATGTTACACAGCCTAGTGCTCTCTCATGGGCAGGATTGCTCGTTTCTTCCCAAAGGTCACTCATTTTCATTGTGATTAATTCTTTTAAATCATTCCAGGTAAAAGTACATCAGTTTGCACCAAATATTGCCAAATCATAACCCAACATGCATCATATTAAGAGTATTTTTTCTAACATGCTGATAATATACCAAACTGTATGTGACTGGGTGATCCATGGGGAGCAGTCTGCCTGATTTAGTGTGTGCCTGCTCATCAAAGATGGATGATTGCCACTACGTGCTATAAAATTTTGTCTGACAAAACCAACTCCGTAGCAAAATAATGCTGTCTCCAAAGGGCAATAATTCTTTGTTTTCTGTCCCACATGTTTAAGCAGCTCAAGCTGGCTCGGATTTTCTCAAAAAGACTTTTTTATACTTATTCTTTTTAAAAAAAAAAAAAAAAAAAAAGGTTTTTGAAAACTAAGAAAGCTTGTGCTAAAACTTTGATGGGCCTTTGTTCGTTGTTGGGAGCCTAGGAAGATGGTCTCTAGCAGACGAAAATTTGTTGCGCTTATATTCCTATCTGTGTAAGTAGATACTGGGTATTAAGTGGCTAAATACTTTTGAGGTCCTGGATTTTTAGTTAAATCTTAGGGCTGGGGCGTGGTGGATTCTTCCTTTTTTTTCCTGTCTTTTCATTTTGAAGTCATTCTTGAATGAGAAATTGTAACGAAGTGATTTTTTTTTTATAGGACAAGGTTATTACAAAGTAAACAGGTAAATGGTAAGGAAATGCCAACTGTAGGACAGATTGCGCGGGTCAGGTGAGGATGCCTGTTGAGCATCATCTGACATGGGGATGGCTGTTGAAAAGTAGGCCAATATTTGCAAAACCAGGCATTGCTCTCATCTATGACAGGTCCTGGGCGATATGGGAATTTATGTATGGTGATGGGGAGAAAAGCATCCTTAGGGCATCCATAGGAAGAGGGATTTCATGGTGCTCAGCATGGGGCAGCAGTTGGGTTCTGTTTTTGCTTTCTTTAGCATCATGTCTTGCACTTGTAGCAAAACTTGTCGTATAGGCAGCAACCTGGAAAGCAGGCAATGTGTGGCTGGATTCCCATCAGCTGAACGTGGAGGGATCCCTGTTTTTAGCGCTTCTTGGATCATGAAGATCCACGAGCATTTTACAGAAGGTTAGGCTACAGACTATTCTCGGGCCAGAAAATACAACCTCCATATGAAATATATGGGTTTTCTCTAAAAATCTAAGCCCTTTTTGCACACAGTTCGGTAAATCTTTGTTCAGAGGTACTTGCCTAGTGAGCAGGTACTTCCCTGAGCAGTTCTCTGACATTATCTGTGTCTAAGTGTGTGTGTAAACTAGTAGAACCCCTCCCCAGCTCCTTCCTCACAGAGGTGGAGAGAAAAGCACTGTGCTGGCTTTGCAATTTAAATAAACAAGACAATTTGCAGTATAAGAACCAAGCTAAATCTTTTGTGGATGTTTATTCCAGCCAGTTAAGACTAACAAAGTGCAAATATTTCTTCTAAAGGTGCCCCAAGGTGCAGGGAAGGCTCATTAAGTTGAAAGGCAGCTTTTGTTGACCTATCTATCAAATATATCCAGCATTAATTTCCTTGTTCTCTTTGTGGCCAGGTCTTTGGGGCTGGTGGGGGACAGGTTAGTATTTCCTAGGCTTTACTGTTGCTGAACGCTCTGAAGTTTCTTCATTTTCATTTTCTGCCTCCTAGCTATTCTGAGCTTTTTGTTCTTTAAGAAACTATCTTCTGTTTGGTATAAGAAGTCTTCAATTATTCCAACCTGCAATTACAAAGAAGTGATGTCAGATGTATGCCCCTTCCTCTGTATAGAAACAATTTAAACTCTTGCAATTAGTTTGTTTCAAAACTAATTGTCTTTAGAAAGAAAAATGCATGAAGGCACCTGTCGCACTGCAGTAACAGTAGGTGAATTCATACATTTTTTGTCCCTTTCCATCTGGATTCAATTACTTTACTGCTGCAGAATAGACTTCTTTCATTGATATCTGTACATTGAAAATAGGAGTTTATCACAACTCTGTCTTTAAATGGCATTGAAAAACAGCCACCTTAAAAGGAGGGGATGATGAGGAAATTAATCTCAGGCAAGTTTTTTTTGATAAGGAAAGGGAACAGAGGCTTCTGGCATTTATATGCCAAAAATCAGCACACAGAGAAAAATGAGTATTCCACATTGCTGTGGCAAGAATCATTTTTCTGTTAAATCAAAACGAAGTTCTGAATAAATATGTTTTCCCATGAAATATAATTCGCTGGAGAATAAAGCGGAAGAATAAGAGATGCTGAATGATAATTCCTACAGACAACCTCAGTCTCCTTCCAAAATAAAAACGTAATTATTCTAATAAAGAGTACATGCAGATAGATACACTTCTTCCTTGCAGGAGTGACTTCAAAACAATCTTAAATACCTATAGCGATTTTTATGGCATAGAGTTGTTGTGTAAATACCAGGCACTGGTAATTTCACGACTCTGTCTCTCCACACCTTACCTTTATTCATACGCTTTGTCAGCGTTTGCAATGTGCAGCACTTCTGTAAACTTAAGATGAGAATCATCTCCCTTCACACTGAGTTATACTCAAGACCTAGGCCTGATATAATGTGAGCATCCAAAGAATCAATTTTCCAAATGTGTTCTAAGTGGCAATCTTTTAAAAAAAAAAAGGTCCTAATCTATCATTCTGACAGACGTTCGGCGGAGCGTTGCTGCTTTAGTCACAACACAGAACAGCTGACGATGAATTAATTTGAGCGAGGCTTGCTGTTGTGTTTATTCATACATTGAACTGGTGTTCCTCAAGCCTGAACGTGAAGCTGGGCACTCTGGTCTTGGTTGGCACTGGTGAGGGAGAAGACCATGCAGGTTCAACAGGTTGTGGACAACCACTTCTGCCTCGCTGGAGACACAAGCACAAATCTGGGAGAGGAGATCTCTGCTTCCTCATCCCCACTGAGCTTTGTTGGGTCAGAGGATCAGCTCTGCCTAGCGCTGGGCATGGGGCCATGGCCAAGTTTCCTGCTGCTGGCCTTGATGGACACCTGAACATGGGTTTGTGCTCCTCCGTTGCCAAGAGATCGTTGCAGCAGGGACATCCAGAGGTTGAGACTTGCTAAGAGCAGGCCAGCTCTGGCATGACGTGCTCACCATATAAACATGCTGTGGATTAGAGGAAGGAATCATTGTGCTCTCCTCATTTTTAAGAAGCTGAAATAAAAGCTAAAGAAGTCATTGATCTGGCTAAAAGCGCACAGGAAGTCTGAGAAGAACTAATCACTTAGTGCCAAGCTCCCATCAGGAGGCTTAGCTGTGTTTAAAGAAAACAACAAAAATACTCGTATTTTTCCAGCTACTGGGAACAAGCAATCTTCATTCTCTGGAGGATCATGTGGGATGCTGCGGATCTCCTGCCTACCTCTCTCTGGAAACCCTGCTCATAGAAGGATGCATAGAGATGCTCAGAGCAGCCCAAGCCTTGGGCAGATGGGACTGGGGGACACAGAAAGGAGGCACAAGGCGAGGAACACATTTTTACAGTTTCTCCCCTAGTGACAACACACGGGCAGGCACATGGTTAATGATGTCATCGGAAAGCTCTGGGCAAAATTATGTTCCTATCCCAAATCGCAGCTTGTCTGCTGTTCTGTGCATTTTGTATTTATAGACTACCTGTCAACTCCAGATCCCCAAATAAGTCCTAGTATGGCATATCAAGAGTGGAAATAATAGTTGCTTACATAATTGTAATGCTACTGACACAGCTGATGAGCTGATGATGTTATTTACCCAGCAGTGATGGCATTCAGACCCTGGCTGACTTACAATTACACTGTATGCTCCGAGCCCTAGCATGATTTAAATTACCATAGGAGCACAATGAAAATACAGTCTCTTGACAAGATAAAGGACGGGGACTGGGAAGGGGGGGAGGAATGGCTTAGAAATGTCTTTTCAGTGGCTGAAGTGTTCAGCAGTGCTTATTCATGGCTTTTTAGCTTGCACATTTCATTTTAAGAAAGTAAATTGGAAGCATTATGTTCTGCCTTTTCTCCGTGATTTAAAGCCTCCCCGTGCCTGCTCTCCAGCTCTTCGACTGCAGTGAGCCACCTTCGTGGCTCTCATTGGGAAATGCAAATTTTTTTAAATCGATAGTGTCACTTTTTTCCCCCCCTTTTTCTCCCAATAACCATTTAGCAAGGAATCTGTGTGGACAAGAGTGAATTGAAGGACATCATTTGCAAACAGCCCCAAAGCGATTGCTCTGAGAAGCAGGGTTGTCGGAGGGAAGTGGATTTCGGAAGGAGATTTTCGCTGGTGACTTATTCCAGATGGAACAATAGGTAACCACAGACTAATGCTGACAGTGTAGCTGAACCTTCAGTCACTGCAGTGCCAGGCTTGGTCTGTTAAGGAGCACTGGCTGTTGATCGCTGCCCGGACCTGCCAGAGGTCCTTGCATGTTCAAATCCACCTTGTTTAGGGATCAGCAGAGCCAGATCAGGCCCTTGTCCCATCTGTACAGAGACTTTCTCTCCATCTCATTCCCACCGTCATTCCCACATGAGCAGCTGTGCCAGTGGGCTGGCATCCTTGGAGGGAAGTCCCTCCAATGCTCTCCTGGACGTAGGAAATGCAACTCTGCAACATAACCTGAGATATGATATACCAAGATCCCAGTGTAGAGCTGCAGCACTGGCAATGCCCCTTCAAAAAGTGTTCCCTTGTTCTTTTATTCTCCAAGAAAATCGGTTGAATGAAAGAGGTTGTGTCTGCCTCCCCTCACTGCCACGTGCTAAGGCATTTTCATCTTGACAGAGAGGGACAAGATGAAAAGCATAATTAACACCCCAGAAGTGACTGGATGGGCTACAAGTCAATCAGGCTGCTCTAAATCTGACTCTTGAATTCACTAGGAGACAAAAGCGATCTTCAGTCTGCTTGGATGCCGAGCTGATGGGCTCATTCTCAGCTACAGGAGGGTTGCATAGTTCCCGAGGACTGTGCACAGTGTGTAAATGCTTGCACTTCTGGCGTGTTCATCATATGCAACTTATGCATGCAATGAAAATCTGGATTTCTTTGGACAGCAGGAAGCATAGCAGGCTTAGCTTGAAGGTTGAGCTGCACAAGGTCTCATCGGACAAGGCGATATATGGTTTCCCTTTGGCTTAGCGTTTGATTCATTACTATGGGATTTTTATTCCTGAAAGCGACATTACACAGAACTTCCTACACAGATAAGCAATATTATTGGCCTTGTTTGAAGCGTATAAAAATACTTCTAATCCTGCCCTCGTTACACATTGCCCATGGCCAGACAAAGGGAGGATGGAGGAGGAGGAGGGTCCCGCTCCCGTGCAGCGGCAGCTCCTGTATCCCCACACCCCGCAGCTCTGCCCGTTCAGCTCTGCTCCCTGAAGTCACACTGATTGATTCTCTTGCGGCATGGAGGGATACATAAGCAGCACTTACTGGCTGCAGCTGAATTACAATTATTGAAAGATTTCAGCGTGAGGGACCTCTGGAGGTCACCTAGACCAGCCTCCTCTTCAATGTAGGGCTTTATGGGAAGTTACCACCTCCTCTTCTGCTTGAGCTTACTGCATTTCTGGTAATGGCCAATCAGTCACTTGTGAATTTGCCTGGATGCAGCTAGATTTGCCCTGAAATGTGCACAGCACTAGTATATTCTTGGCCCTGGCTATGTACTCACTCAGATAAGACATCTCTCATATGGTTTTTAATTATGTGATATGGACCAACAGCAAAGAATACAGAGATACCACCCATCTTTCAGGGTGATACAAGTCCTGGTGCATCACAGATGTCATTAAATGTGTCAATTTTTGCTGCAAGGGGCTGCTCCAAGGAATAGAAGTCCATGAAGTCCTTACTGATGGTCTCAAGGAATATAAAGAAGCTTCATGACTTACCCAAAACATGGGTATTCTGGTCACAGACTACCATGAATGCACTTTTTTTAAAAAAAGATCAGCATAAATCTGAACAGAAAAACAAACAAACAAAAAGTTATAATAGCTGGTCAAGGGTTTAGGATGGCATGAATGAAGGAACCAGTCCCTTTTCAGGACAAACTGCCAAAGAAAAAGTGTTTACTTTGTTTATAGAAAAATGTAGATGGATATACAGCAAGCGGACTCATTCCCAGGGTTATAGCAATAACAGGGTAAATATGTAAAAGTACAGAGGCATGCATATAGGTTTTTTAGAGTGCCTGGCCACCCAGACTTCCTAAATCCCAAAAGGAAATAGGGGTGTAGGTTTGAAATAGGAAATAGGTGCTTTTGAAAATGTCTGCAGCAGCTATAAATAACATGCAATGGCAAAATGATCTGGCATACAGAATCTATTTTTACTTGGGAGCTATTAGTAATAGAAAGCAAATGAGCTACCTTTAAATATGAAGTACCTCTCAACATTTTCCTTTGTCTCCTAGAGCTACTTACTAAAGCACTCCTTGGAGCGAATGCAAGCAAAAGAAAATTACTGAAAGGACTTAAGAGGGTAAGCGGTGGTGACTGCTTCGAGTAAGGAGGAAAAGCTGAGTAGAGGCTTGAGGAAGAACTACTGAGATTTTATTAAAAATCAAAACCTCGTTTGGGCCTTCCAATAAAGTCAATTAGAAAAGGTTGCTCAGTATCTGGAAAAAGAAAAACACAGTTTGGTTGTTTGTGTGTGAAGTGCAGCACATCTGAGCTGTCAGTGATGCCTTTGGAAGGAACCTGCTGGTTTGCAC